TTAAGTAAAACACAAAACTATCTGTGTGTTTTTATCATCCCCTCCATTGATCTTGTGGCTATACTATACCTGTAAGCATAGAGTGATAACAATAAGTACCTGCCTGATTCCTGATCTTTGAGTGTGACCTTGCCAAGGCTACCACTGAATACACCAGTCCACTGAGGGTGTTACTGGCCACCTTAAACACCAGTTGGCGATCTTGTGTTTAACCGTAGAGCCCTATTGTTGGGGAGGGCACACGACAGTCGATGTGATCGAGTCGTGTTCTCACTCTTTCTTAATAAGAGGCCGTTAAGATTGACTGGGAGACTCTCCTGGCGTGCAGTGGCGCCGTGAGGATCGAGGGAAGACCCGCAGGGCTACGGTGAGTTACCCTGAGCGTAACTATTGCTCACCCCAGAGTAAGGGTAGAGAATAATAGAGAGGTGAAACCCCCAACAACATACATATTTAATCACCCATACAAATACACACATCAATAATCTTTTGAGTCACAAGTGATTCAACAAGAGGCTCACAACAGTCACTATACAAGGCACTTTACATCTATGATGAGTCCCATAGTTACTAGTCTTGCTGCACACCCACTCAACTGGGCGGCAGCTTTACAGGCATGTGCATGCATTACTTACAGTAAGCAAATTTTGGATACTTCACTAAGATTTCGGGCAGCACATCATTATGAAAGAAGTACTTACACATTTCTTGGACACTATTGATGGTGTTATCTCTAAATTCCGCGATTTTTTCACATTCCATTATATAATGACGCAAAGTATGCAAATAGTTCTGCTGACAGAGTTTACACTTAGTCAAATCTACATCAGCAGATGTTACAAATTCCCAGAGGTATTTGTAGCCGAGCCTAAGCCTAGCAGTGGTAACATCTAGAAGTCTGCTAACCTTATTGGACCACCCATAGACGTGCGGTACCTCCTGCATAATAAAATGATGATAGATGGAGTAACTGGTGTGAATTTCACTTTGCCTCAAGTCTCCGAAATTTAGTTAATGTTCCCGGAATATTACTGCCCTCAGGCTGCTCAAAGGCAGTCCGAGTTGGTAATCAATTCCCTCTTTACGAGCAAAAGTCTTGGCCAACTCATCAGTTCTATCATGCATTCGGAGACCAATATGGGAAGGAATCCACAGGAGACAGACTCTGACTTCATCATTGATTATTTCATTATATCTGTGTCTAGCTTCAGAGATAAGCGCGTCACAGTTATGCCCTTGGGGAGCTGAGGGCAGTCAAGGATGACAAGGAGTAAGCAGTGAATCATGGAAATATTATATTATAATAATTATTTTTTACCAATTTCTAAAAGATTCCTCTCAATTTTTTTAACAAGCTTAGGTATACACAGCAATGTGCTGCTACCCTATTCTGTATTTGGAATTTGAATTTTTAAACAAAGTATAAGAACTATAGCAACTGAGGAATTAGTATATGTTCTATATAGACCAAATTTAGTTTAGTTAATTTATTATGCACCCCATTCTCATCCTGTGAACGGTAGTTTAGTGTGCACCCCATACTCATCCTGTGAGCGGTAGTTTATTGACCTGAATATTATTGGTAGTTATTATTTATAGGTAGTGACCTGACAGACGCATCAGGGCCCCCGCCACCAGGCACAGGAGCAGAGGCACCCTGGCGCACATCCTTTCTTAAGCCCACGACGAGGCCCTGCTCAGCAGGAGCAACCTTCCGCCGTGGGAAGCTAACAGCAGTAAGCGCAGGGGACGCCACAGGAGTGAGCACGTCAGAGCCCCCCACAGCACCGCCAACCACGGTGGGAGACGCCGGATCAACATACTCTCCTACCTCCACCCAAGACACACCACGAAGGGGAGACACACTCGGAACCCGCCTGGAGCGCTTGGAGACAGACTGCCGGTCGTCCGAGCTATCACCTTCGTCATCCCGTAACAGCAGAATTCTCCGACGGGCGCGCCTTCAAAGCCCCTACCGGACCCCACACTGCAGGAGACAGCTCCTCGCGGACATCCAGAGTGACATGAGACGCCGTATGCAGGGACGGAACAGGCAGGGGCGGCAGAGACGGGGCTTGCTGGGGCGTCAGGGGCAGGAACGACTCAGGCGGGGAAGCCGGCGGCGGGGGTGGGGCCGCCCCAAACCCCACGTCAACATCTACACCACCACCCACATCCGCACCCAGACGAACCGCAAGATCCAACACCGGGGCAGAAGCCGGCAGGGAAGCAACACACATTCCAGCACTTGGAGACAGGTCCGGAGCCGACAACGGGGCAAAATCTTCCTCCCGGAAGAGGTTAACAGGGGTGACCCGGCGCTCCTCTCACCCCGCAGCCTGGTGGCCCGGTAGGCCGCACCTGAAATAATGTCCTGGGTTGTCCTGCTTGAAAGACACGAATCAGGAACCCCAACAGCATGATGGAGGACGGTACAGGATCCCTGAGGCGCAAGGCGAGAGTGCGGGTCCCACACGACACTCTTCCATCTCCCGGTAGGGACGGCATTCATCCTCACATGAAAGACCCGCCCAAAACAGGCAAAGTACCGACGTAGAAGGTCCTCAGGGAACTCGAAGGGCATCCCATGCACTACTACATGGGATGAGCCACTACTACAAACGTCGTGGCTCCACAACGGTCAGAGAGGGACACTGACCCACCATCTCCAGGAAGATTGAACGAGCGTCCATCATAGCGCGTGACGAGATCTTGGTACATCACTGGGGAGCCGAACTTGACACTCGCCCGCCGTCCGGCAAGCAGCTGCACCCTACACACAGACTCCACAGGGACACGTAGCATATCAATTAACACCACCTCTACAGCGTGGTAGGAAGCATTCCCAGAGAACTCCAGGCCAACGGAGGCCTGCTTGGTGACAGGAGGAAAAGGCCCCCCCACCCCCATGACTGCAGACCGTCATGGCCCCAGGGGCCCCTCAGTAGAAACATGGGACGCAAGCCACATCAGCAGCGACACCCACACCTCGCCGGGTTGACAACAACTCAGTCAGATGAAGTTGTTGATTTATCTGGTCAGTGTATGCTGACCTCACATAGTTCAGTTGCTGGTCGACCTGGGCATACTACTGATCTTGATTGTCGCGCATTAAAAGTTTCCCAGAGTTTTGTAACAAACTTTCCTAGTTTCCTGTGACGTTTTGTGCAACATTCTTTGAAAATGGAATACGCTTTGCACGATGAATGTGTGTACTTTACACTTACACAGAGTGACGGTTTCTCTTCATGCAGATCGGCGTTCAATCCCCGACAGTCCAAATGGTTGGGCACCATTCCTTCCCTCCCCCCGTGCCATCCCAAATCCTTAACCTGATCCCTTCCAAGTGCTATATAGTCTTAATGGCTTGGGGTTTTCTCCCTGATAGTTCTCTTCCCTTCCCTTCTCTGATAAGAGTGCGCTTTGTTAACAAACACAGTAGTACAAACAGTGCGCTAAACACTGTTAATGGAAACGCAAATTATACGATCAAGAGCTATGTATTTATTCAGATGAGAACAGCAGCGAACACAAACCAGCGCATATACGAACGAAAGGATTTGTATGTACAAAATTCTCAGTGAACAAAGTTGTTTCGACGATTTGACCAGTCCCCTACTCATCCTGTGAGCGTTAGTTTATTGTGCACCCCATACTCATCTCTTGAGAGGGTAGCCCAAAACGCATTACCTGAAAATAAATGTCAACTGGATTCACTCATAATGACCTAAACGCGACACGTACGTAATTATGGCTGTATGAAATACACGTTTACTCTATCTGCTAAGTAACCAATGTAATTAATTATTATTATTATTATTTTATCATTATTAATATTATTTTATTTGTATTATTATTAATATTATTATTATTATTATTTTACTATATTATTATTATTATTATTATTATTATTTTATTTTTATTATTATTACTAATATTGTTCGAACCTATGTCCTGGGTGTTTCCAGACGCTTTCTAGTCAACTGAACGTCAAGAAGAATTGTTCGCCCCTCAAAGGTATTAATCCATGGAACTGCCTACCCGCCGAAGCCGTAACTGCCAAAACTGTGTTGTATTTTAAAATATACTTGGATAAGATCATCAAGGCATTTTTTTTTTGGGGGGGGGGAGGGGGAGGGGAACCTTCGACAATTCGCCGGCTTCCTGTCCTCGTAGTGGCCTTCAGGTAAATCAGGTATATTAATTAAACATAATGCGCTTATGAAGTGGACATGTTCACAGACCACAGCCCCGCTCCTGTGCCAGGTAAGTCCACAACGGGGCCCAACGGGCCCACAACAGGGGCCTGACAGCTGAGTGGACAGCGCTCGGGATTCGTAGTCCTAAGATTCCGGGTTCGATCCTCGGTGGAGGCGGAAGCAAATGGACAGTTTTTCACCCTGATGCTCCTGTTCACTTGGCAGTAAATTTATTTATTTATTTATATACAAGAAGGTATATTGGGTTTGTGAGGATACATAGCATGGTGTTAAACATGCTATGTAAATAGGTACCTGGGAGTTAGACAGCTGCTACGAGCTGCTTCTTGGGGATGTGTAACAAAAAGGAAGCTTGGTCGAGGACCGGGCCGTTGGGACGCTAAGCCCCAAAATCATGCCAAGATAACCAAGAAAATAACGGGCGCACCGTGGAACTTTTGGTTCCAGATACTTGGAACCTTTGTTCCGAGAAGCAGAATCTAAAACAACTTTGTGTACTAACTCGACTGAAGGATGAGAAGCGGGACCAAAGAACTGAAGCTTAATCCCCGTAAGTCCAAATAGTCCCCTGTACGTGTAGGTAACTCTAGTCGATAACATGCTACAACAGGAATTACTGTACTCTAGGTAGTGAGTGAGTTGCTTAATGTTATATTGAGTGCTTATTTTTCTGACTATACCATACGTTAATTATAATAATTAACCATAGTCCGCGCCGTCTCTTATTAATATTTGTAGCAGATAATATTGTAATATGAAGAAGAGGGGAATTTAGTGCTGTTATTTACATGGTAATTGGCAATGAGTAGCCACATATAAGTCCGCGCAAGGCGAGCCCGGCAGCAGTGTGGCGTAGCGGGGCGTAGTGAGTGTGTGTGTGTGGCGGACTGACTAGCTGCTCCTGTTGCACCACACTTCAGTTTATCCAGGTAGGGGGGGGCTTAATTTATATATATATTCTAGGTACCTGTAAGAATGTTAATGTTTTTATTTTTCATTGTAATTAAATTCGGGGAACTGAAGTTTTTTTTTTTTAAGAATCGGCGTCCATGTGACCTTGAACATTTGTGCATAGTATATTCTAAAATAATATGTAATTTTTATATAAAATATGTATATAAGTATATATAATATATATATATGTATAAATTATGCTATGAACAGGTTTCTTTGCAAAGCGCAGTGTCGAACAAACGTCAATACTGTTTGTTGAAATCCAAGTTGGCAGGCATCCATGACGACACACAGCATGCAGGGGGCGGGTGGTTGGGGGCGTGGGGAGGGGAAGGGTAGGTCTGGGGCGTGGGGAGGGGAAGGGTAGGTCGGGGAGCGTGGGGAGGGGAAGGTAGGTCGGGGAGCGTGGGGAGGGGAAGGTAGGTCGGGGAGCGTGGGGAGGGAAAGGTAGGTCGGGGATTTAAGGGAGATGAGGGTGAGACAGGCAACAAAAGAGGGGGGGAAGGGGATGCGATAAGGTGGTGATGGGGCAGGAAACTGCATGAGGTTGGAGGGGAAAGGGAGGTGGTGGGGGGTGGAGACAGGTTGTGGCCTGGAAAGAAAGGTTGGGTTGGCTAACCTGATGTGTTTGATTTAAAGACCTGCCTGAAACGCTATGCGTGTTAGTGACTTTGCATGAATGTTAAAAAATACCAATTTTATGTAATCTCGCCAACCCATTATACCTTCTTGCAAATAAATTATAATTGTTATTATTATTATTATAGGAGGAGGAGGGATATTGGCCTGGGCGGGCTGTGAGAAAGGGAAGGTAGACGAGGGGAAGTTGTGGGGGCAGTGAAGAGAGTTGAGGGGAAGTTGTTGGGCAGTGAATGAAGGTGAGGGGAAATTGTCTACGTACATTGTTTTGTCGTAGATCTCCAGGAGCAGATAACGATATGATATATGGATAGATACGTGAATAATACATTCATTATAGTGCTATCAGGGCAAAGCGAGGTACATGAAAGTACAAAGAATCTCCTACTCTGCTCTTAATATTATTATTATTATTATTATTATTAGTATTATTAGTATTATTATTTTGTATTTACACAGTTGGGTTCAGGAACAAACGACTGCTGACTCCTTTTAGCAATCTGAGAGCTTTCCCATTCCATAGCTCACGATAAACCTCCCCACTAGGTTCCTTGGAACGCGACCCGCCAATTAATCATTTAACATCCAGGTACCTAGTCATGCTGAGTGAACAGAGGCGTACAGTTAAGGATTGGCGCCTAGTCAATCCTCCCCGGCCAGATATATAGAACGCTTGAGAGTATCTGCAGAGACATGATGTAACATGTTGAAAGATTTCAGTAAGGAGCAGAGTGATGTCTGGGATTGGGATTTGTTATTGTTCTAATTGCTGATTTCTGTTGAGTAATTAGGGGCCGGAGGTAATTAAGGGTGGTAGATCGCCAGGCACAGATATCATAGATATCACAAAAAAAAAAGATGAGATATGGATTAATGAGTGAATAATATAGAGTAACTAGGGGCGGGCGAGTAACATAGTATCTGACTTTGGAGAGAATGCCTACTGTTTTAAAAACTGTTTAGTTACTATAAACAGTATATTGTATATGGCAATGGGAATTTAGTTTGTAATCGTGAACACCAAGCTAGGACTTTCCTTCTATTCTGCTCGTAATTTAGGTATTGTTACTTCTTAGATTAATTGTTACACTTAACCAAACAATATGTAAAACATATTGTCAATGTTAAGAGTAAGTTTGCTAGAAGTCAACCACAAATGGACTTGATTAAGTTCAATATTCACCGTGTCATTTAGAATAAGTGGGTAAGCATGTGACAAAATTAAAGACTTTGTATCATCAGAAAACAGAATTGGCTTCAAATGTTGTGTGGTATTTGGAAGATCATTGATATTTACCTACCTGAGGGCTACTAACCATAGTGGTTAACTAACCCCAAAGAGGACAGGAAGCCGGAGGCTTGTCAAAGGCCCCCCCCTCCATTTGCCTTGATCTTTTCCAGATATATTTTGAAATTCAGCATAGTTTTGGCAGTTACGGCTTCGGCGGGTAGGCAGTTCCAGGGGCTAATAACCCTGTGGGTGAAAAAGCATCTTCTGTTCTCAGTCCTACATTGTAGCTTGTTGAGCTTAAAACCACTGCTCCTAGTTTGTGTTCCATCTGACCTGAAGAAAATATCTTGATCAACATCCTCTGAGAATGATATAAATGTACTGTATATTATATATATATATATATATATATATATATATATATATATATATATATATATATATATATGTCGTACCTAGTAGCCAGAACTCACTTCTCAGCCTATTATTCAAGGCCCGATTTGCCTAATAAGACAAGTTTTCCTGAATTAATATATTTACTATAATTTTTTTCTTATGAAATGATAAAGCAACCCTTTTCTCTATGTATGAGGTCAATTTTTTTTATTGGAGTTAAAATTAACGTAGATATATGACCGAACCTAACCAACCCTACCTAACCTAACCTAACCTATATTTATAGGTAAGGTTAGGTTAGGTAGCCAAAAAAAGCTAGGTTAGGTTAGGTTAGGTAGGTTAGGTAGACGAAAAAACATTAATTCATGAAAACTTGGCTTATTAGGCAAATTGGGCCTTGAATAGTAGGCTAAGAAGTGCGTTCTGGCTATTAGGTACGACATATATATATATATATATATATATATATATATAATATATCCGACGGCGCTCGATGGGATGGTCAACTTGGGCATAGATATTTCACTGAATCACCTCACTTGGTGGAACCACGTGAGCAACACAAATGCGAACACAATTGAATGGGTCCCAAGCCAATATGCAACTGAAAACTGCACACCCCAGAAGGATTCGAACCCAGACAGCCAGGAGCACTATGCACCTTGGCATACCTGGTACAGTACCTTAACCACTAGACCACACTGACTGTACAAAAATCTTAGTACTCGTGAGACTATTTATCCAAGATCCTACAGCACTTGGTGGTCAACTTGGGCACAGATATTTCATTGAATCACCTCACATAGTGAGGCCACATGAGCAACACAAATGCAAACAAGTTTGAATGGTCTCCAAGCATATATGCAACTGAAAACTCCACACCCCCAGAAGTGACTCGAACCCAGACCGCCAAGAGCACAATGCAACTGGTGTACATTGTACTTTATCCACTCGACCATCAGTAACCGTACAAAAGACAATAATAGCCGAGGCTATTTGACCACTGTCCCGATGGCACTTTGATGGTAATTTTGGGCACAGTTATTTCATCAAATCACCTCACTTTGTGAGGCTACATGAGCAACACAAATGCGAACAAGCTTGAATGGTCTCCAAGCATATATGCAACTGCAAAACTCCACACCCCAGAAGTGACTCGAACCCAGACCACCAGGAACACAATGCAACTGGTGTACATGGTACCTTATCCACTCGACCATCAGTGACTGTACAAAAGACGATGATAACCGAGGCTATTTGACCACCGTCCCGACGGCACTTTGACGGTAATCTTGGGCACAGTTATTTCATCAAATCACCTTACTTTGTGGGGACACATGAGGAACACAAATGTGAACAAGCTTGGTCTCCAAGCATATATGCAACTGAAAACTCCACATCCCAGAAGTGACTTGAACCCAGACTGACAGGAGCACAATGCAACTGGTGTAAATGGTACCTTATCCACTCGACCATCAGTGACCATACAAAAGACGATGATAGCCGAGGCTATTTGACCACCATCCCAACGGCACTTTGATGGTAATCTTGGGCACAGTTATTTCATCAATAACTGTGCATGGGGGTCTACCACTGCAAACCACCTCAAGCCCATCATCACCCAGCAAAAATCTGCTATCAGAATAATAACAAACTCTGCTTTCAGACAACACTCAGCTCCCTTGTTTAAATTCCTTAACATGCTAAATATTAACTTCCTCCACACATTCTCTTGTGTCAACTACATTTACAAAACCCTGTTCTTAAATGCAAACCATGCTCTGAAACTCTCCCTGGACAGATGTAATAGGACCCATTATCACCACACCAGAAATAAATATCTCTTTGATATCCCCAGGGTCAAACTTAATCTGTGTAAACACTCTATGCAAATAAAGGGACCTAATCTATGGAACTCACTCCCTAGTGAATTGAAAAGCTGTCAAACTTTTGCCTCATTCAAAAACAAAAACAAAAAATACCTAATTTCATCTTCGTTGTTTCCTGCACTGAGCTTTAAATTTGCTCTGTATCTAGTGTTACCCAATCTCCCAATCTTTATGTACTTAATCCAAACAACTTTATCATTGTGTTCATTGCTGTCTTCTTTTATGTGCTAGCCATACGCTGTATTGTGCCTACTAATTTTTGTTAAACTACCTTTCAAGCTGTCATTGCAATCAATCTGAGCTACCTATGTGCTTTAATATACAGTACCTACAATTTTCTCTCATCTTTTATGTTTTTCTTGCTATGTAACTGTTATCATTTTTATAAATTTTGCTAGTATTTACCTACTTAAAATTTTCTTAGATTAAGGACCTGCCCGAAACGCTGCACGTACTAGTGGCTTTACAAGAATGTAATTACTATGCTATGGCTATGTATCCTCACAATCCAAATGTACCTTCTTGTATATATATAAATAAATATATGTATATACATATATATATATATATATATATATATATATATTTATATACAGTATGTAAGTCAGTTAAAAATAAATATTGAAGTTGCATAAACAGATTTAAAAACTCGGTTTCAGATGGCACGGGGTCGAGGACGGGGACGAAAGGTTGCTGTAAAACGAAAGAATGATGTTGACGAGTAGGTTGTCATTGTTTTTTGTTTATTAGCTGGGTGATAAGCTCTTGTGATGCTTATTTAACAATTATGGCACTTAACTTTATATATTAATGAACAAGATCTAGCTTTGCATGTTTAGATAGGGCTAGAGAAGGATGACTTAATGAGTTTTAAGACAATGATATATTTCAGTGAAAAGGAAAAATAAAATAAGTTAGTCTGAAATTAAATAGTAGTACAGCAGTTACCAATTACAGAATCTCGATGCCTGAAGGCTCAGTTCCTGAGCCCATTATGTGTTCTAATCTTTTCCACTACCACTCATACAATGGGTATGGGGTACATAATAAATTAACTAATTACACTAACTGAATCATTCTTGAATGATTACATCCATATAGGATTTATACGTATTAAAAGTTAAGTTTTGGAGCAATCCTTCTTAAAATTTGGTACTGTAATCAATATGCAAGATGTGTATCTTCTGCATTACATTGAATCAGGTGCACAGCAATATACATGTGCAGGTCCTGTATTTTTAAGACCAAGCTGAACACACCCACAGTGAGCCTCCAGCCAAGCTGCAGCGTGATGAGAGCACCAACACAAAGCTGCGACGTGCTATCAATGAGGCTAAGGAAACTGCAACACAAGATGACAAACCCAAGCAGATTAAGCCAGATGAAGTTCTTCTTAGAAGCTTCCCACAAGTAATATATTTCTTCATTGCATTTAATCTTTTTCTTTGTTTCTGGGAGGAGCTCTTTGGGGACTTCCTGAAGCCATCTCACTAAAATGGCTTCCAACTACTAGGCCATATCAGTCGGATGGAGTGAGGATATAATATCATCACCCCACTAGGAAAACTAACAGAAAATCAGTGTAATTTTTACAGATAGCTGCAATGTCCATAGAAAATGAAGCAATGAAACTGAAAAATGACTCCGCAGAGTGTGTTCAGGAGTTTGCCCCTTCAAGACATTGTACCATTCCAGGTACACTGCTTTTGCTGCTGTCTTTTCTAACATGTCTTGGGCAAATGTTAGAGTTTGGGGTTTCAGGGATTGAGCAGGGTCTTAGTGGCCTGGTACTTTGTTAATGTCACTTGTCCCAGTTGGTCTCCATAGTTTATTTTTGAACTAATAAAGCAGGTATTTTTGGACTAATAAATCAGGTAATTTAGGTAAATCGGGTAATACCTGTCATTTTTCCTCCTCTCTGGTAAGTCCCTTGTTTCCTATTTCTCTGTATTTACTTAGCTTTAGGGAGCCACCAACGGCCTCCTCCCAGAACATCAGCATTACATGCAATGAAATATCCCCTTCTGGTAGAGCCCTGATGGCTCCCGGGTTATCTTCTCTACCAGATTAATTTATTCGAGGTGCATCAGCTCTGGATTGGCCTCAGAGTCAGCAGTGGGGCTGGGGCTCTGGGCACCTAGTGCCGGCTATTGGTACTTACGGGTTTATGCTAGTTGGAGAATCCCTTGTTTACACTTTAATAGTTTGCAGAATCTTTTGTCAGTTTCATTGCATTTTTCTATGAGCCTTGCAGTTGTTTGTAAAGCTTTGCTGACTTTCTGGATGTGGGATGATATTATGTCTCTGTGAGAGGGCCAGGTTCTGTCTCTGGTTTCTGGTGGGCCAAAGAGGACTCTTGTGACTGATGTGGCCATCGGTATTGGAAAGCCATCTCAGTGAGAGAGCTTCAGGTATTTACCAGGGCTCTACCAGAAAGAGGTATTTCATTATTTTCAATGTTTTTTTTTTTTTTTACAATTGTGTTGGTTTTTATTTGCATGTTATTTATTAAAATTAAATAGTGTAATATATAGTTGACATGATAGTGTAATATATAGTTGACACCAACTATTTCTTGATCTATGTTATTTGTTTCACTCATACTCAAATGAATGTTCAAGAATAGAAATTTTTTGAAATACTGGTACTGTATTTTAAATTTGTATTAATTTGTTATTGCACTGTTTACTTTACAGGCCACAGTTTATGAAGACTTTGCCTGTATGTTAAACCAAACAAACATTGGCCATAACAACAATAAGTTTTACATCATCCAAGTAAATCAAGATAAGAAACGCTACATTTGCTTCACTCGCTGGGGACGTGTGGTAAGTATTGTGGGAGTCACAAGTAGCTTTACTCGTGGGAGATGTGTGGAATTATTTGGAGACATCAGATGTTAAGGGGAAAAAATGGTTATTTGCATTTCATTATATTAGTATGCTCTGACATATATTCTATTGTATTGTACAGTGGCACCTCGATTAACGAGTTTAATCCATTCCGGCACCGAGCTCGTCATATAGAAAACGCGTCTTGCGAAACAACAACAAAACTGTCGTAAAAGGTGTCTGAGAACCAGCGGAAACGCTCGTTAATCGAGGAAAAGCTCGTTAGTAGAGACAAATGTTCTGCGAGTGGCTCACTTGTTACTTGAAATGCTCGTAGATAGAGCTGCTTGTTAATCGAGGTGCCACTGTATTATAATTGTTTCAGAAATATTTCTTTAACTTGATCTTTAAAATATTTCTTTAACCCTCAAAGTGTGGTCATAGTTATGCAATTACCTAAGTGTACAAATGTAAATGTAATTACGCAATGAGAGCTATACTCATATTGTCACGTTTTCTCAGTACTCTTGTGATATGGATCTCAGTACAGTAGTACACTTGGGTTCGTTCTCGACTCACAATCAAATCCCGGACCGAACAGAAATGGTTGGGTGCATTTCCTATTGCTTAATGGTTCTGTTCAGCTAGCAGTAAGCAGGTATCCAGGAGTTAGTCAGCTTGTTGTGGGGGTTGCATCCTGGGGAGGGTCACTAATTCAACCTTGGGAGGGGGACCCCTCGATAATAGCCTAACATGGATATACTATACAATGGCTGTCTATTCCTTGACACAAAGAATTAAATTATTATATGATACTTTGAACCTGACAGTTTTGGTTTCAACCACCTTCTAAACTAACTTTGTTAACAAAAGTGTGTTTTAATAATAATAATTTGATTTAAATATTAGACAGAAGAACATGATACAGTAGTTAATTGTTACAGAGCATGTACAGTTAATAAGGCATTACTATGCAAAGCATTTTTGACATAACTTAATATAATTCATTTCAATTATTTATAGTCTTGATGGTAGTAAACTCTTAATACTAAAGGAGAAGTTAACTAACATAGTGTATATGGATTGTTCCAGAAATTTAGCAAGTGATAACAGATTTTAAGTGATTATGAAGAAAGGTGTACACTACGGTACTTTAATATAAAATCTGTAGTATTAGCAGCAGAATAGTTATAGTGATAAATATTTACAATACTGTAACAGGACGACACAAAATTGATTTATTTGGAATGAGGAAATGTAAGTGAAATTTGTTACATGATGGTAATTTGATATTTCTTAGTCTATTCTTTAATCCTTGGGCTGCACCCCTGTTTATACAAGACAATGCCCTGTTCCACAGGAAAAAAATTAAACAAACAAAATTCCCCTTCTAATATTGTAAACTGCATTATGACTTTCACAATGCAATTGTGAAAGTCAAAGTCAAGTGTGACTTTGGCTGTGGTGAAGAAGAAAAATCTCTCAATGGCATCATGATTCATAAGCGTTCATGTAGCAATTGCCCTATGGAGGTTGTCCCGGGCCAGGCATGGGCCAGAAGTTACTGCAAAGATATTTCATACATACACAGTATTTATTTCAATATCGCTGATTTGATTTTTCTCTGTTGTTTGTAGCAATATTATTCAGTATCATCCGAGAAACTTATATAACGAAATTTGTGGAACATTGAAATGCTCATATATTCGTGTAACTGATTTGCACAGCATATTATGTTCTTAGAGTAATAAAATGTACTGTACTGTAGGCAGCTGTAGCTATTGTCATTTGATGATTTTTATAATTTAGCCCAGTTTGTGTACCATTAATGTTAATATATTATTGAATTAATTCTGAATGTGACAGAAAGGGCAAGATCAATGATTCTAGCATGAATTTGCACTATTTTTCTTACGTTTTTTACCTGAATTTACCCGAGGGCCACTAACACTCTAGTGGCCACGATGAGAACAGGAAGTTGACGGCTTGTCAAAGGTCCCTCCCATTTCTCCTGATGATGATTTTTCAAACTTATTGTTAATGTTAATAAGCATATTATTTCATCCCAGGGAGAAGAAGGCCAGTCTAATTCAGACTGTCATAAGGATGCAGAAGCAGCAATAAAGGTATTCAAAAAGAAGTTCAAAGACAAAACCAAAAATGACTGGGAGAAAAGGGAAAACTTTACACCTCATACAGGAAAATACACCCTAATAGAAATTGGTAAGTGAACTGAATGTCAAGGAAGATTTGCTTGCTGCCTTTGTGTTCGGTGCATTTTATAGTTATTTTATGCTCTCTCTCTGCTTGTCTGTTATCTCTCTATTGACTTCATATTATCCCATACACCTACAGCAGTTTCAAAATTCTTTTCTGAGGGAAGCCCTTTGTGGCTCCCTGAAACTATGCACTGAGATGGGTCCCACAGTCAAAATAAACCACTGCTGGGTTCAAAAGAGACCAAAGCCTCACAACCCACCTAATGAACTCCCCCTAACTATCTAAACAAATGATGACGACAGTGCTGTACTTCCTGACGACAGTACTTCTAACTCTGAAACATCTGCGAGTTTCTGGGTCAGGGCAGGGTTCAACTCAAAATGTGGCTAGATCAGCTCCTGGGGTTGATCCTTCCAATTGAGGTGCAGAGGCAGTTGAGTCAGCTACTTCTGCTACAAAGTTTTGGGGTTGTCCTTTCAGCCAGCCCCTCTCTTTTGAAACTTTTCCCCTGGACTCCACTGTTCTATCCTGGGCAGCGGTGCATTCACAAGACCCAAGAGTGCAGCGTCCAGGGTGGGGGGGTTAATATTGAATCCTGGGTCTTGTTTGACTCCAAGTAGTTCGTGTTCCTTCCAAGGAGGGTCTCCTTTTGCAGGAGGAGGGATTTTCATATACCCCCCCTTCTTGTATAAGTATAATTTGGCTGCAGCTTCCTCCTAGGGTTCAATTCCATGGGCCTTTGGGCACATCAGGATTGTCCCTTTGGAGGCTTCCTTCCTCTCAGGAAACCTTTGAAAACTTTGGAAACCTCCTTTGGTGGCTCGGGAGGCTCTCCTCACGTACCGCATGCGAGACCCAGATTGCACCTCTTTAATGGACCCTTCCACTTTTGAGTTTGGATCTTTTGCTTTTTGGATGAATTATGAGGTTCCAGAGTCTTCCTGGCTAGTGGACAATCCTTTATTCTTGCTTTGGGCTTGATGCCGCTTTTGTGTTGCCTGCATGCTTGAGTGACATGAGGTGTCAACGTGTTGCAAATGTTCCTGGGGGTGCCTTTCTTTTGTGTCCCTCAATGGTTGCCTGTTTTCTCCTGCTCTGTCTCACGATGTGGGTCTTGTACTGCTCCATGCCCAGATGTCTCTGTTGTCTGCAGCGCTTGTGGTGGACGACCTTTGTCTATTTTCGCATTTTGGTTCCATCGTGCAGTTTCTGGGCCATCCTTGAGATCCATAACATCTCTGGGTGGATGTTAAGGTGCTTGGTGCAGGACCTATTGCGGTGTTGGCCTCTGCTGCTCTTCCCACACTGTACACTCCCATGCTCCGAGAGGCAGTTATATCACATTCTTCACCATCCTAATGGGTGGTGATTGGGCCAAAACAGCCTTCACAAGGATGTATTGGCCCAGTCTTTGAATTAAGCATGGGCCCTGGATCTCTTGTCCACCTCTCCCTTCCCTCCCCTCCCTTCCTCTTTCCTGAGAGGTAGTGTAGCAGTTTCTTTCCTCTGCGGTTCCTGCTTGTAGACCTATTTCAGACCTCCTTTGTTCTTGTGGTATCTCTCATCCTTGGAGACAGTCAGATAGAGCTGGGGTGATGTGTGCTGTGCATCAGGGTAGGTCTGCTGTGGAGCCAGATTCTGGGTCACAAGTGCTTCACCCAGCTGGTCCTTCTCCAACTGGTTGGCACAGTGTTCGCTCAGCATGGGAGGCACCAGTTCATATATCTGTTCAAAAGGGCTGGCATGGTTCATGCCGACCCTTTTGCAGTTTGCCCCTTTCATGGGGCAGAGGAGGCTGGCTCACCTGGTTTGCCAGCTCCTGGTTCCATGATTTGTCAGCTTTTCGGGAAGGCGGGGCAAATGAGTTCATGCTAGTTTCGAGAGATTCGATCGTTTACTCACATAGTTGGGAAGATCATTAAGTGGGTTGTGAGGTTTTTGTCTCTTTTTGAACCCGACAGTGGTTTCTTTTGACTCGCTGACTTTCTGGATGTCTTGCCTGGTGAGGTGACAAAAGTCACCACTCCCTGTACCTCAGTGAGGGGGGCCAGGTTCTGGCTCTGGGCCACAGTATGCCCAAGACCTCTATTACTGATGTGACCTGGTAGATGGGAACCATCTTAGTGTATAGCTTTAGGGGAGCCACCAGGACTCACCCAGAAATTGGCATTTTTATTACATTCAACTGTTCTTTTTTTTGTTTTTATTAATTTCTGTAACTAATAACTCATTATTTATATATTTTTAACTAAAGCTTATATTTGTCGATTATCATGCATCCTATTTTCCTAGATGATGCTGATGATGAAGATGAGGATGGAGTGGATGCAGTAGATGCTGGAGGTCTAAAGAAAGAGCTGGTCACCTTCTCAGGGCCTTGCTCACTAAACTACAGGACACAAATCATGATAAAACTTATCTTCTCTGACGACATGTTTGTCAACCAAATGTCACACATGAAACTTGGTATGGAAATACAGCACTGTATAGTATACATACTATGATAACTGTAACATTGTGTTAAACACCCAATAAGGTTTGATTAAGGTTATAATACTCTTTGTTGTTTTGTATAACTGCTTACATAATGAGTAGGATGCTCAGTAAACTGGCTGCTACTGGTGGCAACAATTAACTAACAGCATCTACCTTCCCCTGACACCAACTCCCACAACTGACACCATCAGCCTCACCTGACAATAGCCCCCCCACCACTGACACCACCCGCTTTCCCTGACACTAGCCACCACCAATGATACCACCTGCCTTCCCTGAGACCAACTCTCACCACTGACATTGCCTGCCTTCCCTGACACCATTCCCCACCACTGACACCACCTGCTTCCCCTAATCCTATTTTGTCATCCTCAACCCCCCCCCCCCCCCCCCTTGGATGTAATGAGTAAGTAAAATATAACTGTACAATTGTGCACACTTTGATTAGGTGAATCATGGATGATAACATCCACCTCCCGACACTAGGCCTCGGTGACACCTAGGATGAAGAATCCTTGCATAATTAAAAGTATGTTTCACTGAACAATTTGTAGTGAATACAGTTTGTTCGGACCATCTAAGAATTCGATGGAGTGGGGTTTGTTAGTGAAGATTACATACACACATATGCATATATGTATGTAATAAAGTATCCATAGGGATACTTGGGCTAGATCTTCTGCTTTTATGCCAAGTTTCTCAATGTCTCTTCAGCGACTCATTTTGTTGTTTCCCGTACTCGGGGCCAGGAAGCCTATTTTGCTTATTGAGGTCCACCTACACCAGTGACTTATTGTAGTCAAGATTTAAATCATGATAGTTGCCTAACACCCAGGAAGCTATTTACTGCTAGATGAGCAGAGGCAATAACTGCAAGAAAACGTGTGCAAACATCTTGCTCTATTTGGGAATTGACTTGGGTTCAATCAGCTCCAATCAGCTTTGAGCTGATTGTGCTAACCACTGTGAGTACAGGTATATTTATGTAATGGCTGCAAGAGGATGGAGAATGGTATATACAGTATAGTCATCTCTTGCATTTCCATTTCTCATGCAAAACTTAGTTTATTTCACCCTCTGATAATACAGACATGATTTTCTTTATTAATGTTGAACAGTTAAATTAGGTAATCTTTAAGTGAAACATTTGAGAGGAAGTACAGTACCAGTAATGTGATTATAGCATTGAGGGATAGTATATCAATTGGTCCTCATGCAAATTTATTAATTGTTTATTTAGAGATGAGAAGAAATACTGTGTATCATTAAATTAACTTGCTTTGTCATTCGACACAGATGTAAGGAAGATGCCCTTGGGAAAGCTCAGCAAGCTCCAGATTGCAAAAGGACTAGAGGCTCTCATTGATATTGAAGAAGCTATTAAGCAAAATAAGGTATAAACAGCATTACATAAAATGGCAATGTAGTGGAATTTTATTTATTATTTTCTTGGGGGAGTCTCTTGGTGCCTCCCTGAATCTATCTTGCTGAAATGTCTTCCCACTATGGAGTCATATCAGCCATAGGAAGTGTGTTTAGCATACCAGGGACCAGAGCCAGAACCTGTCCCCTCCTCACAGGCCCAAAGAGCTGGAGATTGTTATGATTACCCACACTGAGAAAGCATCTAGAAATTAAGCAAAACAATATAAATAAATGCAAGGTTCACAGAAAACAAAGCACCAAAACAGCCAGAATGACTTTGGAAATGATTGATTTAAAACCATTTGGTATGCTCGAAACTATTCAAGCTCCATTTTGAAAATGGGAACCAACACATGGCACCCCAGAACTCCTGGCTTCCACCTTGACCATTAGTAAGTCCTGTTGCTGATGTTTAAGAGGTTAGACCTTCTTGAGTTACAGGCCATTGGCGAGTCCCACTTCTTTCCAAAGATAAGTGATTGCCATCCTTTGGACATTGTCTTGTGGGAGCCATTTGCATATGTGTCATTCCCAACCTTTAATATTTGTTTCACAATACATGTGTGCTTACAAGCCTCACTTCTTGTGTGGACTTTGTCAGTTTGCATATTTGCTATGAGCAGCATGTGTTTAGGACAGACTTTCACTAAGCACATATTCAGCGTGGGCCTTGCATTGACATTAACTTCTCTGGTGTGTTCGGGAGTTTGTCACTGTGAGCCCTGACCACCAGAGTGGAGAGCCTTGCCCTGGTTGGTGCACAAGTTGTTGACTACTCTGCAGAGCCCTGTAATTGAGAGCATCCGCTTTGTCCTTTTATGATGTGCACTGGAGGTTGCGCAAAAAGAAACTTAAATTACTACATAGTCATATTAGAAGTAAATGTTCTGGAGGAGTTGGTCCACCCTGCCCCCTCTGTCTGTTCAGAGGTGTTAGGTTAGGAGTCCTCTCCTCATCTCTGCACTGTCATTACGACGTGGTTGGACTCTGGTGTGGTCAGGTTAATCTCCTGTCTTTGGTGGGGTGTCCTAGTTGTTCCCAGTCCCCAAGCAGGACTCGGTGAACCTACAGTACATCCTTGACCTCTTGGGATTGAACAGCTTCATTCCCTGTTTGACATTCTGCATATCTATTTTAACTCAGGTTTGCCATTTGCTGGCTCTTGCATCATCGACTTCAGGGTTTTTTTGGTTTGGTTGAATGGCACCATTCTCCTACATTACTCAGTGTATATACAGATGCCTCAATTCTGGGTTGGGGCTTTGTGACCAAGCCTCTCAGGGTCAGTGGTCAGGTCCACTTTGTTGGTGCACACCATGGTGTGTGTGATTTCGTGACCATGTGGAAGGTCCTTCAGAGGATACGCCATCTCGGCTACATCTTCCGGCTCCAGTCTGACTGCTCTCCAGGGGATTTATTTCCTGAACCATGGGGAATTACTTCTGTCCTTTCTTCTTTGGAACTGGATTATTATAAATATAACTCAGCTGCATGTGTAGGTTGTGTCCAACATTCTTGCAGATGGTTTCTCTTTTTTTTCTTCCCATTTTCACAGAGTGGACCATTGATGACACATCTGTCTGTTGGCCTTGATAGACACTTGGTCACTTTAGGGTAGACCCCTTTACATTAGCATCGAACCAGCAGTGTTGTCTCATGCTTTCTTTCACCTCCAGCTGGCTCATGCTTCTCCTGAGCTATCTTGGGCTCTCAGTAGGGTGCTGCTCTTTTTATTCTTCCTCCCTCCCCCCAGGTTCATGACTGCCCCTTTAGTTTGGATATCTTTTGTAAGGCATTGTTTTTGTTGGCTCTGTCCTCTGGTTGTAGGGTTGGAAGCTTTGTGCTTCCCGTCAAAGGCATGGGTACAGTTCTTCCGGCCGAAACTCGGGGCCTGCAGAAACTGCACGGCCCTGGTGTTCAGTTTCTTTATTTGCTGCCTGATCCTTCTTTTCTGGCAACGAGTGAGATGGATTGTTTCCAAAGGAATCTTTTAGTGATTGAGGCTTGGTTTGCCCAGCTGGGGTTGCATTATTTGTTGTCTGGTTGCAGTAGTTCACCACTACCTCCATACAACCCACTCTGCTTCAGTGGATGCTATGTTTGCTGATCTGGTTTCCTTCATTCCATGTTTCAAGGCACGTTTATCCCTGGTTGTCAACTATGTCATTACATCTCGCCTCTACCCTTGGTCCATGTTGTTGCTATATGGCTATGGCTGCTATATTTGGTTCTGTGTTTTGGACTGTTCTTCAGGTTCAGGGGGTTTGGAAGGTCTATCTGGGTCAAAACGACTTGTGTAATTGCTGCACTTCTCCTGGTAAGTTCTATGTTTTCCTTCTTCTGTTTTGTTAGATTGCTTCAGTGCTTCAGGGAATCACCAAGAAGCTTCCCCCATTAAACTGGCATTGAATGTAATGAAATGCTTCCTTCTAGTAGAGCCTTCCCTCCTACCAGGTATGTTAGATCGTAGTTTATCAGATCCTAACTGGCTAATTGTTAGGGTGGATGCCTGAAGCTCTGAGATGCCACTATGTTGGTGACTATTTGCACTAGGGGGTTCGAGCTAGTTTCAAGTAAACCAATTGATTTTGAATGAATCAATTGTAGTCAATTGGTTGTTTTGATGCTTGGTTTTCTGTGAATCTCACAGTTGTCTGTATTGCTTCACTTACTTTCTGGATGTTTTCTTGGTGTGGGTGATTATAACAATCCCCAGGTCTCCACATCTCTGAAAAGGGCACCAGGTTCTGGCTCTGCTACCAGCTAGACCAAACAGGACTCCTATGGCTGATATGATTCGGTAGTGAGAAGCCATCTCACCAAGATAGCTTCAGGGAGTCACTAAGGCTCTACCAGAAAGAGGTATTTCATTACATTCAGTGCTTGTTTTTAATTATCCTAGTTAAAGGTCTGAAATTTTTCTTATAGCCTCGGAGTGTGCTGATGGAATTATCATCCAAGTTTTTTACACTTGTACCGCACAACTTTGGTCGACAAACTCCACCTGTACTAAATGATGACAAAGTGGTGCAAGACAAGAAAGAAGTAATGTTGACCCTCAGTGATATTGAATTGACACAGAGTCTTCAGAAAGATAAGGTATAGTACAATTCTGCTTCATGATCATTGTTGTGATATTTTTGTGTAATTGCAGCCCTCAGGCACATAATTACTCAACATATATCAGTCTCTATGCAACCTTTAAATAAATCTTTGAACATGTTAAATATAAAAACACTTGATATACTCTCAAATGTGCTTTTATACTGGCTCTTCAAACCTCAGAAGTGTCATACCAGTTCCAACCTCAAACACTTCTTAGAGTGCTGCAGTATAACCCATAGATACCACACACACAACAAATATAAATTTGACATTCATAAAGTCCAATTCAACCAATCAATAATAATAATAGTTTTATTTAGAAAAAATAGAGTGTCAGAATAGATACTTAGTAGGAACAGTTTTTGTATATTTTATAAAGCCATTAACTACATTTAACATTGTTAAGCTAATGAGTGTATTGAGTTTTAAATTTTTGGGGTAATACTCAAATCTATATTATATGTAATCTAACATATACTGTATATAAATTATTACAAAATTAGAAAATGATATACAGTTTTGTGAAGGTGATAATGATGAAAGGTATAGACTTCATAATTTTATATTCTGTAGCTTTAGTGGTAACTTTAATAATAGTACATTTATGGTGTTTAATATTCACAATAACAGAAGACACAGATTGTGTGCATTAGAATGAAGAAATATGAGATTTATACTATTGTACGTGGTGCGGCAGATATATAAATGCCAATACTGTATGATTTTAATTAGGTATTCCTTTGTTTCTCTTTAAAAATGGATTAAAGGTAAGGTAAGGTAATTATCAAGAGAAAGCACCAAGCCATTACGACGATATACTGTAGCTTAATGTTAAGAAATTAAAACAACATTTTTTTTATTTGAGAAGTTATTATACAAGTTAGGATATTTATTTGCATGGCATTTCTGCTTAGATTGAGTCGTACTCTTGAAATATCAAAAAGATATCTGTTTGTTTGTCGTGTGGTGTCCATGGTTTCTGTTGACCTCAGACACTCCTTAGAGGACTGCAAGGTTAATATTACTTCTTTAGAATTTTATAGATACAGAGTACATTTCAGAGTTTGTTAGCTCTTTAATATTTAGCCTGTTCAAGGATTTAACTGTTCTTCATACTGCCTGGAGTTGTAATTTGTTATAGTTCTTATTGCTGATTTATGTTGATTAATTGTCCGAGGTAGTTTTGAGTTACATACATATATAGTTCCAGGCACAGGTAACATAGTTGAAATATGGATAGATGAGTGATTAATAGTGTAATCAGGGCAGAGCAAGGAACATAGTATTCAATTTTTTAGCATGCCTACTGCTTCATACTTTTGAATTATATTTTGTATATAGCATTGTAGCTCGGCTTGTTGTCAGTGTGAACAGCTTGGATTTTCCCTTCCGCTCTGCTCTGTTTGGCTATTGCTTATTCTTAATTCTATTTGGTTGGTTGACTTATTTCCAAATAATATGAACATTAATGTATTTTCAATGTTAAGGATGAGTTTGTTAGTGGTCAGCCACATGTAAATGCTTTTAGTTTAATATTTACTATGTCAGTTATGGGTAGGTAGATCAGTTGGCATTGGTCACATGGAAATACTGCCTCAATTGATAGATTTTATCTTTGGGTACATTATAACTGTGCCTTAGTACATAAATGATCATCTACTCTGTTTTCTCTTAGTCTCCACATTGTGGCTTTTAATTAATACAGTATTGTTATCTCATTCTGGGTGTTTTCCCTTTCCACTAGCATCCAGTCTTTTCAAGTTTCTATCTTACTTCTTTGAATTTGAAATGGCTGGTCATGGCTGTATGAGGCTGAGCTCTGAAGGATGGATATTTTCTAGAGAAGATCTACTCTGATAGATCTGGACTCGGATCTATCATAGATATAAGATAATTAAAAAATAATCATAACATTTCACTGATAATTAGGTATCAGTGATATGTTTAGATTGAACTTATTCTTTATTCTCTTATCAGACCAGAAATAATGTGCAATATCATTTTATAGGTCAATAAGGACATGCATCCTCTGTTGGAAAAGTATGAAATGCTTGAGTGTGTCCTGGAGTTGATAGACAAGAAAACAGCAGAGTTTAAGGTAATATAATGCTAAGAATGCTTCTTTATTACTATTGTTTGCTTATTTGGCTACATGCTGGAATTTCAAAGTACTGAGGAGGACATAGAAAGCTATTAATTGCTGCCTTTAATGTTACATTACATACAATTGTTACATTCTTATAAAGCCACTAGCACTCATATCATTTTGGGCAGGTCCTTAATCCTAATTTTCCATGGAATATGACCTCCAAATCATTTAACAACCCGGTACCTATTCACTGCTGGGTGAACAGTGGCTTACAGTAAGGATTGGCACCCTAGTCAATCTTCCCTGGCCAGGATATGAACCCATGCCATATTGCTTACAAAGTGCGGGGCGAGTGTCTTACCACTGTGCCACGGGGACTTACCACTGCGCCATTTGAACTTTGTTCTTCAAAATATTGGTTATGACCCAGAACTAGACCACAAAATGCTTATTACTGGGTCACAAGGTAAACAAAATTTAATATTAGGTACCTTAGTATATTGTAATCGTAATATTATTTACAATTATATATATTTGTTTTGCTGTACTAAATTTTTGTTATTAGGTATTTAAGGAAAAAGTATTTTTAAGTTAACAGGAACAATATCAAAGTGAGAGAGTGTGTGTGTGTGTTTGTGTATAATGTGTATCCTCTCAAGTCATATACTGCCTCACATTCTGAACATGTCCAGGCCTGGTACAGCAGTGAGTGACTTGGTTCTTTTTATTGTAGATGTGGGAGAACATTTACTTCTTTTAATTCTGTCCTAACAGGCATATTTATTAGGCAGCATCACATACCCTGTGAGTGATTATACCACCATAGCAGCATGTTCAACACCCCAATTGGACAAAAACCCGCTGGGTTGTTCATCCTGTTACTTGTACCCAAATGCAGCTGGGACTCTCTTAACTTCAAGTGAATAGTCTGTCTGAAATTTTTTATCTTGCAATGACTACAATTGCATGGCATGCCACCAATTTGCACATGGTGGCCTGCTCAGTAATGGTTATCAGTGGCAAGATTTAATTATGAGAGCAGTTGTACCTGACCAGAACACAGCTAGTTGAGTAAGGGGATCCTTGGTGGGTATCCTTTCTCAGATCTAGTCATGATCCACTGGGTTGTTAGTATCTCTCCAATGCACTGAGCAATTTAGAGGAGTATTTAAGTTGGTCCTACACCAAATATTTAGTTTATTTGTGATTATAGGCTACAAGGTTTTGATACCCCAGAACTAAGTCAATGGTTTAATTAAAGTAATAATTGTAGCAGTACTTTAGGTGAGTAAACGTAAACGTACTTTTAAATATTAACAATGTTTATTCAGTAAACTTACTAATATACTGGGTGCTTGACTTTACTTGAGATTGGTTACAAAGCTAATATCTTGCATCAGAGGGATATGAAACATCCAGCTGATTTTGCTTCCAGTGAAGAACAAAACCTATCTTAACACTTCACTTGATAACCAATTGTAAACTCGGCTCCAATTACTGCTGGTATCAAGGGATTACACAGGAGCTCCAGACTGAATGATCTGGGAAAACACACATAACGGTATGCACAAAGAAAGCAACTCGGTAATTACTCACAGAATAGATCACACATGACTTATCAGTGAGACAGTCAACACTATATGATTGTAGCTAAATGTGTGGTGTATAACAATCACATATATGAATAACTGTGTGCAATGTGGTACCACTCAGGTAATCGCATAGATATGCTATAGTCTTACTCAATCTTATACTTCATGCCTCACATCTTCAGAAAGACATAGCTGCTTTGGAGAAAGCAGCAAGAAAAAATCATTCCAAAACTAAGTCGACTCTCACACCAGGAATGGTTGAGGGCCACAGGGCTAACAACACTACAAACCAGATATGACAGGGCTGATCTCACCGTAACTTTTAAAATGCTGAACAATTTGGAAGATATTGATCCAGACAACTTCTTCAAAATGTCAGATGTAACGCAAACAAGAAGCAACAGTTTCAAGCTCAACAAGTGACAATGTAGGATAGAAAACAGCAGATGCTTTATAACCCATAAGATTATAAACCCATGGATCTGCCTACCCTCCAAATCCATAAATGCAAAAATGCTGCTGAATTTTAAGATCCAGCTTGATAAAATCATCAGGACAAATTGGGGGACCTTTGACAAGCTGCTGGCTTCCTGTCCTCATCGATGCCACTAGAGATATAGTGGCCCTCTGGTAAATTCAGGTAAGTTTTAGAAAACAGAAAAGATGTCTCTAAAGATTTAGTTAAGATGTGTGATGTTCCACTAATATATTTTAGAGTAATGTTTGAACAAGCATGTTTTTACCTTCAGTAGCATATAAAAATACAGTAAATATTTATTTTGCAGATTCTTGAAGAATATGCAAAAGCATGCCCAAATACCAGAAAGGGATCATTACTGGATGTATGGAGAATCGATCGTAAGGGTGAACGGGAAAGGTAAATTGACCCTAAAATAAATTATTAAAGTATTACCAAGTTTGCTCTGTATGAGAAAGATTTAAATTTTTCAATATTTCCTAAATTAGTTTTAATTAAGTATTAAACATTCTTATATCTGATACAGATTTGCAGCCCATGATGACATAAAGCATCGCAAGTTGTTGTGGCACGGTACCAATGTGGCTGTGGTGGCAGCCATCTTGAAAGCTGGGATGAGGATCATGCCCCACTCTGGTGGGCTAGTGGGCAGAGGAATTTACTTTGCTTCTGAGCATGCAAAAAGTTCCTGGTATGGTAAGTTACAAAATCTTGATGGTTCTTTATAAATAAATACAGTAATAATAAATAAATGTTAATTCAGGCAAAGTACATACATTCAAAATGAGTTACAAACAGAATGTTGGATTTCTAGATAGAGTTAGTACATACTACAGTATGCCTAAAGCCACTAATACACACAGCATTTTGGGCAAGATGTGGGGAAAAACACTTAGACTAAAATTTAAACATTAAGATTTAGATAACATAAAATTTAGACATTAAGTCACTGCACATTCTCTCATGTGTATTATACATATATAAAACCCTAAACTATAATGCCAATCCTGATCTCAAAAGCTTCATAGAAGGTTGTAACAGAACCCATGAGCACCACACCAGAAATAAATACAGTTTTGATATTCCTAGAGTACGACTTAATCAAACCAGAAATGCTCTACAAATCAAGGGGCCCAGAATGTGGAATGACCTTCCCAACTATGTTAAAGACTGTACCTCTCTCAACCAGTTTAAGTTAAAAACGAAGCTATACCTAATAAATTCCCTGTAACCTACCTTACCCCTCTGTTGTCAACCCATGTATGTTTTTTGTTTTTTTTTTGTTTTTCAAATCAACGCTGTTTGAATGTAATTTTCTGTAATAATTTGTAATTGTATTTGTGCTGCTTTTTCAACAATGTTCCCCCCTCTTTTACCTCTATTTTTATTTGTACTCAACACATTTTATTCTTTTTACCCATTAGTTTTAAGCTTTAGTCATTAGTGTTTTTTCCTGCCCGAAACGCTTTGCGTAATAGTGGCTTTAGGCATTGTATGTACTAGCTCTATCTATAAAGCCAACAAACTTTGTAAAATCTCTTTATGTATGTACCTTTATCTAAATAAAAATAATTATTATTATTATTATTATTATTATTATTAAAACTAATTGAAATCAAAAGCATAAAATGAATTGAAAAAAAGGAAACAAAAAAAGAATGCAAATGCATTCTTTGAATTTTTTTAATCCATTTTACATATTATTTTTATTTTTACAATAATTACATATTATTATTATTTTTTGAATGCATAATTGAATGCATTTTTTAATTCGAATTTGAATTTTGAATTAAAATAATTACATGTTGGATGGAAAAGCATTAGTAATTTTAACTAAATAAACAGACGACTATAATTTTCTTAATTTATACTTGGCAGATATCAGCACATATACAAGTTGGTTAATAATCAATATTGTTTGAAAATAGCAAGACATAGGTTGACATTTAGGAGGTAATGTTGGTTACATGGATTTTATTAGGTAGTACTTAGTTTTTCTATTAAACTGGTTGAGAGAGAGACAGTCTTTGATGTGATTGGAAAGGTCATTCCACATTCTGGGTCCCTTGATTTGCAGAGCATTTCTAGTTTGGTTAAGTCGCACTCTTGGAATATAAAATAGATATTTGCTTCTAGTGTGGTGCCCATGGGTTCTGTTACAACCTTCTAGGTAGCATTTAAGGTCAGGATTGGCATTACAGTTCAGAGTTTTATATAAATAGCATACACTTGAGAGGATGTGCTGTGACTTAATATCTAACATATTCAAAGATTTAAGGGGGCCGAGTGCTATCTGGGGCCAGAGTTTGTTATTGTTCTACTAGCAGATATGTGATGAGTAATTAGAGGATGTAGATGATCTTGAGTAGTAGAATGCCAAGCACAGATACCATAATTCAGATAAGGATAATTGAGTGAGTAATAGAGCATTATCAGGGCAGGGTGAGGTACATAATATCTGATTTTAGAAAGAAGGCCAACTGTTTAAGAAACTTTTTTTGCTATATTTTGAATGTAGCCCTGGAAATTCAGCTTGTTATCAATGAAAACACCAAGGAATTTACCATCTACTTTGTTACTAATTTGGATATTGTTAATTCTTAGATTAATTTGATCTGAGGATTTATTATCAAACAAAATACAGTAAAGAAAGTTTTGTCAATGTTAAGGATGAGTTTGTTAGCAGTTAGCCAATGATGAACTTTAGTTCGGTATTCACTGTGCCATTCAGAGTAAGAGAGTTAGGACTGGATAAAATGAAGGTTGTGTCATCAGCAAATAAAATTGGCTTGAGGTGTTGAGAGGCATTTAGAAGGTCATTAATGTAGATGAGAAAGAGGAGAGGGCCAAGTATACTGCCTTGTGGAACACCAATGTTGATTGGTAGGGTTGGAGAATTGGGATATTTCTTAATTATTTATTACTCATTACTTTTTGTCACTATATAATCCATGTTACATAGTAGCAATTAATGAGCTACTGTATGTAAAATATTATTATAATACTGTACTTAAAATACGTAATTCCCATTGTCAAAGACAGAAAGCCTGAACGGTACCAACTTATATTGAAGTCCCCCAATTGGTCAAAACTATTGACCTTCACCACGATACAACCCCACAGCAATTGCCTAACTCCTGGGGTATCTTATTATTGCTAGGTAAACACAAGCATCAGGTGAAAGGAAACATACCCAACCATTTCTCTCCTACCTAGGATCCTTGATTGTGAGTTGAGAATGTAGACAACTGTACTATAAGTCCCGTGTGAAGGCACAGTATATATTATTTATTTATTTATTTATTTATTTATTTATGCATATACAAGAATGTACATAAGGAATGTGAGGATACAAATATGGTAATTACAGTCTTGTAAAGCCACTAGCACGCGCAGCGTTTCGGGCAGGTCCTTAATCTAAGAAAATTTTAAGGAGGTAAATACTTGCAAAATTATAGACAAAAAATGATAACAGATTACATGAAATGAAAAAAAAGATGAGAGAAAATTGTAGGTACAGTATATTAAAGCACATAGGTAGCTAAGATTGATTGCAATGACAGCTTGAATGGTAGTTGACAAAAAAATTGGTAGGCACAATACAGCAGAAACAATATAAGATTGGTTGCAATGACAGCTTGAATGGTAGTTGACAAAAATTGGTAGTCACAATACAGCATATGGCTAGCACATAAAAGAAGACAGCAATGAACACAATGATAAGGTTGTTTGATATTACATAAAAATTAGGAGATTGGGTAACACTAGGTACAGAGCAAATTTAAAGCTCAGTGTAGGAAACTAAGAAGATGAAGTTAGGTACTTTTTGGTTTTGCTTTTAAATAAGGCAAAAGTTTTACAGTTTTTCAATTCACTAGGGAGTGAGTTCCATAGACTAGGTCCCTTAATTTGCATAGAGTGTTTACACAGATTAAGTTTGACCCTGGGGATATCAAAGAGATATTTATTTCTGGTGTGGTGATAATGGGTCCTATTACATCTGTCCAGGGAGAGTTTCAGAGCATGGTTTGCATTTAAGAACAGGGTTTTGTAAATGTAGTTGACACAAGAGAATGTGTGGAGGGAGTTAATATTTAGCAAGTTTAGGGATTTAAACAAGGGAGCTGAGTGTTGTCTGAAAGCTGAGTTAGTTATCATTCTGATAGCAGATTTTTGCTGTGTGATGATGGGCTTAAGGTGGTTTGCAGTGGTAGACCCCCATGCACAGATACCATAATTAAGATAGGGGTAGATTAGTGCATAATATAGTGAGAGGAGAGCAGAGTTAGGAACATAATATCTGATTTTGGAGAGTATACCAACTGTCTTAGAGACTTTCTTAGTTATGTGTTGAATGTGGGTGCTGAAGTTGAGTCTCTTGTCTAGGAATAGGCCAAGAAACTTGCCATCATCTTTATTACTGATGTTAATGTTGTCTATCTGTAGCTGAATTGCATTTGATGATTTGCTTCCAAATAAGATGTAGTAAGTCTTTTCGATGTTTAATGTTAGTTTGTTCGTTGACATCCATAAGTGGACTTTTTTTAATTCATTATTCACAACATTATTTAGTGTATGTGGGTTGAGGTTTGAATAGATAAGAGTAGTATCGTCAGCAAACAGTATAGGTTTGAGAATATTAGAGACATTAGGCAGATCGTTTATATATATAAGAAATAGAAGAGGTCCTAAGATGCTGCCCTGTGGCACTCCAACGGTAATTGGTAGAGTGGAAGAAGTTGTATCATTGATGGTTACATATTGGTGTCTGTCACTAAGATAGGATCGGATGTAGTCAAGGGCAAGGCCTCGGATTCCATAATGCTGGAGTTTAAGTAAGAGGTAGTTGTGATTAACAGTATCAAAGGCTTTTCTTAGGTCAATGAAGAGTCCAATCGGAAACTCATTTTTGTCAAGGGCTGAGTAGATAACGTCAAGGAGACTAATGATTGCATCGTTGGTGCTCTTTTGGGACCGGAAGCCAAACTGGCAGGGGCTGAGTATGTCAAATTTTACGAGGTAGGAATAGAGCTGTTTGTAAATAATTTTTTCAAATATTTTTGATAGAATGGGTAGATTTGATATTGGTCTATAATTGTTTATGTCCGCCGGATTGCCTCCTTTATGGACTGGCGTTACTCTTGCTTTTTTGAGGATATCAGGGAAGGTGTGACACTCTATAGATTTGTTGAACAGTAGTGCTATGGGTGGGGCAAGGGCATGGGAGGCTCTCTTGTACACAATGGACGGAATTTCACTGGTGTTCCCTGCCTCGGTTTTTAGAGAGTGTATGATGGACACAACATCTGCCGTTGGTACTTTCAGTTGGTACTTTGGTACTTTCTAGTATGAGCTCAATGAATAGACACGTGAACATTGCTTTCCTTGACCTTCATGCCAGTGTGAAATATGGTCGTACAGTAGATGAATTATTGAATTATTGGGTAGAGCAGTAAGAGATCAAAACAGTTGGTACTTTCTAGTATGAGCTCAATGAATAGACACGTGAACATTGCTTTCCTTGACCTTCATGCCAGTGTGAAATATGGTCGTACAGTAAAACGGTATGTGGATCTTTGGAATGAGAGGTGTGGATCTTTAGAATGAGAGGTGTGGATCTTTGGAATGAGAGGTGTGGATCTTTGGAATGAGCGGTGTGAATCTTTGGAATGAGAGGTGTGGATCTTTGGAATGAGCGGTGTGGATCTGTGGAATGAGAGGTGTGAATCTTTGGAATGAGAGGTGTGGATCTTTGGAATGAGAGGTGTGGATCTTTGGAATGAAAGGTGTGGATCTGTGGAATGAAAGGTGTGGATCTTTGGAATGAGAGGTGTAGATATTTAGAATAAGAAGTGTGGATCTTTGGGATGAGAGGTGTGAATCTTTGGAATGAGAGGTGTGGATCTTTGGAATGAGAGGTGTGGATCAATAGAATGAGAGGTGTGGATCAGTAAAATGAGATGTGTGGATCAGTGGAATGAGATGTGTGGATCTTTCGAATGAGAGGTATGGATCTTTCGAATGAGAGGTATGGATCTTCGGAATGAGAGGAGTGAACCTTTGGAATGAGAGGTGTGGCTCCTCAGAATGAAAGGTGTGGATCTTCAGAATGAGAGGTGTGGATCTTTGGAATGAAAGGTCTGGATCTATGGAATCAGAGGAGTGGATCTGTGGAATGAGAGGAGTGGTCCTATGGAAGCAAGAGAAGTGGACTTGTGAAAATGATTAGTGGACCTTTGAAATCTAGAGACATGACCATGTGGAAGCGAGAGGTGGGGTCCCAGGCAGCAAGAGGACAGGTCCCAGGCAGCAAGAGGACGGGCCCCAGGCAGCAAGAGGACGGGTCCCAGGCAGCAAGAGGACGGGTCCCAGGCAGCAAGAGGACTGGCCCCAGGCAGCAAGAGGATGGGCCCCAGGCAGCAAGAGGATGGGCCCCAGGCAGCAAGAGGACTGGCCCCAGGCAGCAAGAGGACTGGCCCCAAACAGCAAGAGGACGGGCCCCAGGCAGCAAGAGGACGGGCCCCAGGCACCAAGAGGACGGGTCCCAGGCAGCAAGAGGACGGGCCCCAGGCAGCAAGAGGACGGGTCCCAGGCAGCAAGAGGACAGGTCCCAGGCAGCAAGAGGACAGGTCCCAGGCAGCAAGAGGACTGGCCCCAAGCAGCAAGAGGATGGGCCCCAGGCAGCAAGAGGACGGGCCCCAGGCAGCAAGGATGGGCTCCAGGCAGCAAGAGGACAGGCCCCAGGCAGCAAGAGGATGGGCCACAGGCAGCGAGCGGGTGGATGGGATTTTGGATTGGGGTACATTCAATAAACATGAAGAAAAAAATATGTTATAGGCCTGCTTTTGCACAGGAAGGAATAACATAATACAGTAATATTCTGTTTATGAAGAAAAGTTCATATGGTTTGTGTACAAAAATAAATTGTGTTTATATACCTGTAGTATAATTCAATTTTAATACATCGGAGCTATAACTGAATTTATATGGATTCGGTAAAAGATTAGGCGTATAGGAGTGACTGGGCTGGAGAGATCCAGACATGAGATAATGAGGTGGTTAAAAGAAATTCTTAATGATACATTTCTGTAAAAGTTTTACAAGTTATCCTACTTGGCTCTCCCAAAAATAAGGTCTGCTGTGGCTATAAAGCCAACATAATATTGACACCTGTACCACAGGGAATGCTTCAGATGATTCCTATAGGGTCAAAGAGGTGTTAGGAAGTAGTAGAGAATATTCACTGATGGCTACATGTGATGCCTGAGATTGTTTGGCAAGGCTTTAGGTTTTTATTGTTATAACCTGCCTGGAGGTCATTTTGAGATGAAAAAGTATTCTTCCTGCAGTGGTCATTTGAAACACGTGAAGTTGACATCAAAATTCTGTCTATTAGCTACAGCACATCTTGACTTAGAGAGCAACCAAGTATGCAACAACTAAGGAGCTTATAAAAACTTGGCCTTATTAATTCTGACATAGGATATTCAAAACACTTTTTTCATACTACTGTATTGTATGTAATACAGTATTATTAAAGATTACTTTGTTGATCATCCTGACAGTTGGCAGCCTGTCCTCCAAACAAAGACCCAAAAGTGATTCCATGCACCCACCAAACTCCCTGTTTATGAATGAAAAATGGTTTATACATGACTCACAACTGGTTTCGTTCGAACACTTCCGGAACAAATGCTTCACTGACGAATTTTGTTCGAGCCACAACGCTATAAATGCTTCACCCACATACTGTACTACAAATACAAATAATCGCCAACAGAACCTAAACACCTAACCAAACCTAACCTATGCCTATATATGCACAATATGCTAATATATTATAATATTAATTTATATTTGAGAAAATTCCCATTTTTAATGAACAGCATGTTAAAATTTATGAATGTGTCTGTGGGGTCGACCACTGGATGTAATGGACTTGAGTCGAGGACGGGTTGACAGTTGGCCACCTGTAATACGGTAATGTAATACCTAATTATTAAAGATTACTTTGTTGATCATCCTTACAGTTAGCCCACACTATGGTACATTTGAGGGCGAGGATATGGTGGGCTTCATGTTCTTGGTTGAGGTTGCACTGGGGCGAGAGAAGAGCATACAAGAATGTGATTCTAGTCTCACCAAAGCACCTCCTGGGTATGACAGCGTTGTAGCCAGAGGAAGGTGTGAGCCAGGTGATTATTTATTAAGTTTTGTAGCAGTATCAGGGAGGCCTCTAAAGGTTTTCTCACATATTTTTGGTTTAAATTTAACTACTGTATATTTAATCAACTAATTTGCTTCAAACTAGAAATAATAGTGTATGTGGCTAACAACATTGTTTTTATGGCTACCTTGGGAGCTAATTTTTGTCATTAGAAACTAGGAATGTTGAGTGTTCTGTTTCTATTTTTTTAAATTATTGAGCCATTTTCATAAAATGTGGTAATGGCAGGTGATGTACTTTCATAAATCTCAGGCATCAGTTTACTTGAATTTACCTGAGATCCACTATCTCTAGTGGCCTCGATGAGGACAGGAAACTGGTGTCTTGTCAAAGGTCAGTCCATTTGTTCTGATGATTTTTATCAATCTGGATTTTGACACTGCTGATAAAATTCAGCAGTGATTTGGCATATGCAGCTTCGACAGGTAGGGAGTTCCATGGATTTATAACCCTATGGGTGAAAAAGCTTCTCCTGTTTTATGTCTGACATTGTGACCTGTTGAGCTTGAAACTGTTGCTCCTTGTATGTGTTACATCCAACCTTTTGAAGAAGTTGTCTGGATCATTATCCTCCAAATTGTTCAATATTTGATGATTTAAATGAGATCAGCCATGTCGTGTCTGGTTTGCTGTGTTACCGATATGGTCCTCAACCATTACTAGTGTGAGAGTCTACTTAGTTCTGGAATAATTTTTGTTGCCTGGTGTTGAACTTTCTCCAATGCAGCTATGTCTTTCTGAAAATGAAGTCTCCATGCCTGGATACAATAATCTAAGTGGGGGGGGGCACATCAGAGTTGAATACTACCTTCTTTTCCTTTAAATCAAAGGTTGGCTCGATTGTCCTTAGGGTTTGGTTACCTTTTCTGTGGGAAGCCCCATCAGCTCCCTGAAGCTACCTGAACTGATATGTGCTATATTAGTTTGGGTCATCAGTCACAGGAGTTCTTATGCCTACCACAAACCATGGGCCAGAACCTGGTCCCTTCAGAGAGATGGAGGGAACAAAGGCCCCTGAGCACTTTACATTTAAAGTATGTTATAATTGCCATCGACTAGGGGAAGGACCCAGAAAGGTAGGCAAATCTAAACAGATCACTGTCTGGTTAACCTGTGCAATCTACGTCCAAAAATATAAAAATAACTCTAGAAAGAAACCTAACAAGCAACACTTCATGCAACTAGCACTCACACTCATTAGTGCTATCCCCCCTTCCCCATACAGAGGGGGGAGGGGGAGCCGCAGCCCACCACTCCAGTTCTTGAACTGCTGTGCTGATGGTCAGATCAGTCACTTTTGGCCTCAAGTTGCTGATATGGATTTTTGCCCTGTGTATCTGCTCCAGCTTTGTGTGTGGTGTGGTGGCCAGGTGTCTTAGTATTCAGGAGCAGCATGCACCTAGGGTGACCTTCCCTAGGTGCTCCGTGAGTACTGCCCTTGCATGCCAGGGTTAATGCTTCCCTGGGGCATTCGGGAATCACTCCTCGTTTGAGGACTTCATCACTTGATGTTGTCTTTGCTCTTGGGGTACGTCAGGGGTCTAGGGCTTTCCATCTTGTCCCAGATAGAGAAGTGTTATTGGCTGGGTGGGGCACTGCGACTGGTGCAGCTATCTTTACTTTAATGCTGCTTTGATGTTTCTCTCTGCCTGCCAGTTTGTTTGTTGTGTCTTTGGGAGTTTTGTTTTAGTTTTCTTTTCATTCTCTGGTGTTCTCACCTTGTTAATACAGTACAGAGGAGGTCTGCTTAGCTTCTTATTAGGCAAGCCTAGGTTGTGTTGGTAGTCCTCTTATGTTGCCCCCGAGGTTTCATAGCCACTACTGGTGGTCAGTTTGTGATCTACCTGATAGAGTTCTACCGGCTTAGCTGGCCTCAGTGCTTGGGCTTCCCATAGGGCTAAATTCACCCTACTAGCCCTGGAAAACCCCTGTGGGCTCAGTCGTACAATGACTACTACTTCTGAGCCCACAGGGCTCCCTGAAACTTCTGAGTTTCAGGGAGCCTCCAGGGCTCACCCAGAAAATGCCATTTCATTACAGTCAATGCTGGCTTTTTACTATAGCTTATCCTTGTTATGATGTTGGATGAGCTTTCTGGATGAGCCCTAGTTTGCTTCTTCCCTCCCTACCAGGGGCCAGATTCATGAAGCAGTTATGCAAGCACTTACAAACCTGTACATCTTTTCTCAATCTTTTGCAGCTTTGTTAATAATTATTAAACAGTTAATGAGCTCTAAAGCACCAGGAGGCTGTTTATAACAATAACAACAGTTGATTGGGACGTTTTCATGCTTGTAAACTGTTTAATAAATGTAACTAAAGCCATCAACGATTGAGGAAAGATGTACACATTCGTAAGTACAGTACTTGCATAACTGCTTCGTGAATTTGGCCCCCTGGTTAGCCGGTTAATCTGTGGGCTGTTTATCAGCTCCAGAATTGAATAAGGAAGATGGCTGCGTGCAGAAGCAAGGCCATTTTGTGATGGCGTTTGGTACTAAGAGCTTTTACCTGAATTTACCTGAGAGCCACTAACACACTAGTGGCCTTGACAAGGACAGGAAGTCAGCAGCTTGTCAAAGGTCCCCCCCATTTGTCCAGATTTTTTTCAAGCTGGATTTTAAAGTTTAACAGTGTTTTAACATTTACGGCTTCAGCAGGTAGGCAGTACCATGGGTTTGTAACCCTCTGGATGAAAAAGCATCTTTGCTTTCAGTCCTACAGTGTGGTTTGTTTAACTTGAAACCATTGCTCCTTGTTTGTGCTAGTTGAAGAAGTTGTCTGGATCAGTATTTTGCACGAAGTTTGAATGTTTCTCCTGTTTTGTGCGAATTGTTTGGTTGTTTTTAAGCTTCGGTTTTTGTCATCTCTTCAGTTGTCCGTAAAACTTCGCTGACTCTCCGAATGCTTTCCCGGTGAGGTGGTGAATTGTCACTCGCTCTCTGCACTCCTGTGAGGGAAGGGGGACCAGGTCTGGTCCCCAGTAGGCCAAACAAAACTTCTGCATCTGATGTGAACCATTTGTATGGAGCGGTCTTGGCAAAATAGCCCCAGGGAGACACCAGAGCTCATCCAGAAAAAGAGGCATTTCATTACAATCAATGCTGCATTTTTGTTTTGTGTTTTTGCTTATTTTCTATTCATCAGGTATAACCCTTAAGTTGCTCCAATTGCCCTGGAGCAATTGGTCATTAGGTAACAATATTCTTGCACAGAATAAAAATTTGACTGTATTTGGATGGTTTTATCAAATATTTGTGCAATATTTTAGTGATTGAATTTATATACAGTATATGTATATTTTTTTTGCAGATCCTAAGAAGAACAAGATAAAAGACTTTGAAGGTAATGAGGTGGTGATTCCAGTTGGAAAGCCAGTTCCTCAGAAGGAATGGTCAGAAAGCAGTTTTCAACAGAGTGAATATCTTGTCTATAAAGAGAGTCAAGCTCGAATCCGATACTTGCTAAAGTTTTCATTCCAGTAGATGTTTACATTTGGGAATTCTTGTTGTCCACCAGTCTTTTGGTGTGGTTTGACTCGAATGTTTTCACAGAGGTGCATTTTAAATATTGTACAAGTTTTTTTTACACAAACATCATGCTCTTCAGGTACTGTACAGTTGTCTAATATTTTAAACTAAACTAAACCAATTTATTGATATGCTCTTTATATGTACTGTACATACACGTACCGTATTGTCATTTTCTCAAGATGTAGCACATTTGTAAACAATGATTCCTCAGAAATTAATCAGTTTTGATGTGGAATCATTCTGTACAAATGAACTGTACACTGGACAGCCATATTGAAACTAAAAAAAAAAAATTAGATATGGTACAGTTAACAACTTATTTACCATATATTGTAATATAATATCCACAGATTGCAGTCCCTGTGGCTCAGTGACAACACTTGCCATAAGCTTTGCAAGTGATCATATTCTGGTTCTATTCTGGTGATCATATTCTGGTCTAGGTTCATATTCTGGCCAGGGAATGTTGACTAGATAGATATGATACTGTTTATTCAGGTAAAAGTACATACATTCAAAATGAGTTACAAACATAATGTTGGATTTCTAGATAGAGCTAGTACATACTATGCCTAAAGTCACTAATATGCTCAGCATTTTGGGCAAGGTGTGGGAATAACACTTAGACTAAAACTTAAAACTGATTGAGATCAAAAGCATAAATTGAAATGAAAAATGAAAAACAAGAAAAAAGGAATGATAATAATTAGATGATGGATGGAACAGCAGAAATTGCAACAGTACAGCAGGAGTAATTTTAACTAAATAAACAGAACACTACAATTTTCTTTTAAGTTTATACATGGCAAATATCAGCAGTTAAGCAAGTTGGTCAATAATCAATATTGTTTGAAAATAGCAAGACATAGGTTAACATTTAGGAGGTAAGGTAGGTTACATGGAGTTTATTCGGAAGTTCTTAGTTTTTCTCTTAAACTGGTTGAGAGAGGTATAGTCTTTGACAAGATTGAGAAGGTCATTCCACATTCTGGTCTCCTTGATTTGCAGAGCATTTCAAGTTTGGTTAAGTCGCACTCTTGGAATATCATGTAGGTATTTGTTTCTAGTGTGGTTCCCATGGGTTCTGTTACAACCTTCTAAGAAGCATTTAAGGTTGGGATTGGCATTACAGTTCAGAGCTAGCTATACATACATACATACATACATACATACATACATACATACATACATACATACATACATACATACATACATACATACATCGTACCTAGTAGCCAGAACACACTTCTCGGCCTACTATGCAAGGCCCAATTTGCCTAATAGGCCGAGTGATTTTCTTTATTTTCAATAAATTTTTTCCAATTAGTTTATTTGAATTATTATTATTATATTATTATATTATATTAGGAACTTAAATTATTGACTTAATTGTGTTAGTTTAGATTAGGTTAAGATAGGTTAGGTTAGGTAGGGTTGGTTAGGTTCAGTCATATATCTACGTTAGTTTTAACTCAAATTTAAAAAAAATTAACTCATACATAATGAAATGGATAGCTTTATCATTTCATAAGAAAAAATATTGAAAAATATATAAATTCAGTAAAACTTGGCTTATTAGGCAAATCTGGCCTTGCATAGTAGGCTGAGTATGATGCTCTGGCTACTAGGTACAATATATAATATATATAAACATCTAACATATTCAAAGATTTAAGTAAGGGGCCGAATGCTGTTTTAGGGCCTAGGCACCAATCCTTAACTGTATGCCTCTGTTCACCCAGCAGTGATTGGGTACCTGGTTGCTAAACAATTGGCAGGTCATTTTCCATGGAAAATTAGTGGGTAAGGCTTACCTGAATTTCCATGAGCTATGGGAAAGAAAAGCTCGCAGTCTGCAAACAGGAGTCGGCAGTCGTCTGTTCCTGTACCCACCTGTGTTAAACAAAAATTTAGAAAATTATAATATTTAATTATTACTTAACTGGATGGTTCTGCTCATATATTGTAAAATTATATACAGTATTTACCAATAGATACAGTGGCCAGTTACAGTAAATATATTTTTGGTACAGTATTTAAAAAGTCAATGGGATTAATGGGATATATATTAAGCCCCAAAAAATTTAATAGATGCACTATAAGCTACTGTAATGTAAAATTATAATACAGTATAATAAAACTAACAACTATAATTGTATAAAATATGATTTAAATAAAACAAAGAAATAGGTTGAACAACTATTTTTTGTTTAAATTTTTAACTTTAAAAGTACAAGCATATTACATTAAATATGAAAGTATATTAATGGTTAGAATGTTTAAGAGCACTCTGCCTACACCCACTTTATTAACTTTCTTAATAAGTAATATTCTCATGATTATTATATGAAACTGGGTTTATAGTGTGCTTTTCCTAAACATTATATTTACACTAATATGAAATCAATATTTTAAACAAAATCAATCAAATCAAATCATCTCAAGACAACACAAAAAGCGCACTTAATTTTGTAAGATTCTATCATTTATTTAATGTTTGAGTTATTGTTGAATATAAAAAAATTTAGTGTTCGTTGAAATCTCACTTTGTGTGCTTAGTCATGTGAACAGTAGAGAATAGTATCTATTTGGTAGCAACTTTTCTCTCAAACAAGTCTTACAAAACTATAGCATATGTACAAAATTTTAGTACCTAACAAATTTTTAGTACATTACTGTATTTGTATTATTTTAAATATGTAAACACTTACTATACTGTACAATTTTGGTAGCTGTGCTGTAGAATTTTGATCACAATATATGTAAGCAACTGCTTGTCATATGTGATTTACCACATTCCATTTATATAGTTTCTTGTCTCTTATAAGCAGATCACTTGTATAATAAAATGTATGTGTACTTAGTAATTATTTTAATTTACAAAAGCCCTCATGAAAATTTCATGTATGGAAACCAATTCTGTAATTATATTTTAGTTCAAATCCTTTTTGTCTATGTACTCTTTTGGAGCCATTCTTAATTATTAATTGCTAATTAAGGAAGCTTTAGTTAGGAAGAACAAGATAGACAGATATGCAATTGAATGGGTGACCTCACCTAGAAAGTTTTGTCCCACTGCCCCATCAGTTGTGTCTATAAGCTCTTTTGGGAAATGATTAACATGCATCTAGTGCGGTTTTAAGATCATTGTTATCTCTCCCATCTCAATCTGGCTATCATGGGTGTAGCAGCATGGCGAATTTCTAGGTAGTTTGGAGGTTTATGTTTATACTGCCTTTACTTCAAATACCTCAGTTGTAACCATTCTTTTTGATTTGGAAAGGCTTATGACTACCTGAAAGTACAATATTTCAGCTCTGCTGCATTCTTTTTTCCATTGAGGCCATCTTGCGTTTCCTTTCTAGTCATATATTTAAGATACCATTACTGCCGTCTCTGCTACCTTTTTGACAGTACTGTATGGAGGTACAGTATTCCTAAAGTTGACTAATTTTTGTCCTGGTTACCCTTAACTTTCTCTCTGCAAAGTTCTCTCAATTTTATGTGGACGATCTCACTATCTGCTGTTACAGCAGGGATTTCTCCCTTGTACAGCACTGACCCCAGCTTGTGACTAATACAGTAGTGGGCTACTAATCATGGTTCCAAGTTCTAGAACACTGAGACTTCTACTATGACTTACAGGAATCACCTTGGGGTATGAAGATATCTCCTCAAGGGTTTCGCCTTATTGTGGTGAGGGGGCTAACATATGATGCTCTGGATTTGATGGTGATTGCCTCTACCCTGTATGTGCAAAGGAACTATGTAGAGTGCCTGTTTGGGTCATCAAACCACCCTGCCTGACGGGGGACACTCTGAGGTAGATTAGGGTGTTTGGGCTGGACTCAAACAAGAAGAGAAGAGGACTCTACACCAATACTGAAGAATGTACAATACAGTAGGTTTACTTTGTTAAAAGCGGGGAACACCGCTTGGGATGATGCACTCTTTCCCGCATTCAACCTCACTGCCCTGATAAGTGGTATCACTTGGGGTATGGGGGCCTAAACTTTAATAAATGGAATTTATATGGAAAATGAATTTGCTTCTGAAACTCGGGCTCATGGGTGGGTAACCAGGCCCTCTAAGTAAGACTGTAATGGAAGATTGGGCTCATAGCTCTGGTTGCTCAGACCCGGCTTCGTCTTTGGTTCATCTGCTGATCTTTTCCATTTCCCAGCCACTTCCTTGGCAGAGTCAAACCCCTAAGTCCCCATTAGTGACTACCTTATCACCTAGAGTAACTGATCTTTAATGCCAAACCTGACTCCTGTAGGCCTACATCAAAAGAATAACATCGGTAGCATATGTGAGGTTGGCTAACATCAGAACTGCCTTCAGAAACCTGTGTAAGGAATCTTACAGAACTTTGTATACCATGTATGTAAGGCCAATCCTCAAGTATGCAGGCCCCACCATGGAGCCCGTACCTTATCAAGCACAAGGCGAAGTTGGAAAAAGTTCAGAGGTATGCCACTAGGCTAGTCCCAGAACTAAGAAGCGTGAGTTACGAGGAAAGGCTGCGTGAACTGCACCTCACGTCACTGAAGAGAGAAGAGCTCGGGGGAGACATGATCACCACATACAAAATTCTTAAAGGAATTGACAGGATAGACAAGGATGGATTATTTAACACGGGTGGTACACTCACAAGGGGCCACAGGTGGAAGTTGAGTACCCAAATTTTTTTTTTTTTTTTTTTTTTTTTTTTGATATATACAAGAGTTGTTACATTCTTGTACAGCCACTAGTACGCATAGCGTTTCGGGCAAGTCCTTAATCCTATGGTCCCTGGAATACGATCCCCTGCCGCGAAGAATCGTTTAGATTCAAATGAGTCACAGAGACATTAGAAAGAACTTTTTCAGTGTCAGAGTAGTTAGTAATTCATTCCACTAGTACTTCCTGGTGGAATGCACTAGGAAGTGATGTGGTGGAGGCTGACTCCATTCACAGTTTCAAATGTAGATTTGATGGAGCTCAAGGGAGGGAATTATCAGGGAAAAGAGCTCAGGAAAGAGATTCCTGAGCTCGAGCTCAGGAATCTGTACACCAGTAGATTGATGGTTAAGAGGTGGGACCAAAGAGCCAAAGCACGACCCCCGCAAGCACTACTAGGTGAGTACACACACAGTGGGGGCCTCGCATCTGAATGGCTAGTGCCTTGGGGTCGTGGTCCTAAGGGTCCGGGTTCGATTCCCGGCAGAGGCAGAAACAAAATGGACAGAGTTTCTTTCACCCTAATGCACCTGTTCACCTATCAATAAATAGGTACCTGGGAGTTAGACAGCTGCGACGGGCTGCTTCCTGGGGATGTGTGTGTGTGTGTAGGAGAAATATATGTAGTAGACATAACAGAGGAAAAATAAATTGGTTATAAAGGCGGGGTCCAAGAGCTAATAGCTCGATTCTGCAGATACAAATAGTAAACGCACACATACACACACATCATTCAAATAAGGAATTCAAAACAATACATTGAAATAATAAATATAAACACAATAAACGTATACACCTGCGTGTATACCTACCGGCTTCGGGGGAAAGGAAGCCGGTCGGCCGAGCGGACAGCACACTGGGCTTGTGATCCTGAGGTAGCGGGTTCGATCCCGGGCGCCGGCGAGAAACAATGGGCAGAGTTTCTTTCACCCTATGCCCCTGTTACCTAGCAGTAAAATAGGTACCTGGGTGTAAGTCAGCTGTCACGGACTGCTTCCTGGGGGTGGAGGCCTGGTCGAGGACCGGGCCGCGGGGACACTAAAAAGCCCCGAAATCATCTCAAGATAACCACTATAGTGAATACTATACAAGATATATAAGTAAATGGTGTCATATGTACAATTCGTCAATATAGTTATGTCACAGTGTATCCAGTCACAATTGATATACGCTGGGTCTTTATTACCACTGGTGCTTGAGCAAGCATTACCTGAGCACGGGATGTTCGTGCTATTTAAGTTGTACAA